CGCCATTACAAAAAATTATTTATATGACAAGTAAGTCGCCTACCTCAACAAGGCCGCGCAGGGCCGTTAAAAGAAGCCTGGAGTCGGCCAGCTCTGGCCCGGTCATTTTTTCTGGGAGTGGGCTCGGAAGGCCATTTTGCTTGGCCTGCGACTCCGCCCCATTGGGCAGCTGATCCACGATGGAATTCAGTTTACAGGCAATCTGACTACCGGGGACCAGTTTGCGAAGACCATTGATGGAATCTACAAGCTGGAGAAAAAAAGAGGTTTGCTTGGCTGAATCCGAAAAAGACCGCTGGCTTGCAACAGCTATAGCTAATTATCGATTCTTGAATTAGTCTTGCAAGAGTCACGGCACCGTGTTGTATATTAAATATAACGTTATCGTAACACAACATCTGCGCTTAACGTATGATAAACCAAATTTAAACTGTAAAATGTCAAGACCCGGAGAAAAATTACACTGTATAACGGCTGGACAAGAAATCACGAATTCTACGAAGGCACTAAATTCTGTGTGTCTCGCTACATTGGCCTTATTCCGATAAACCGTAACAGGTGCACCAGGCGGACGCGAAGGTGAACGGTTGCACGTAGGAAGACTAGTTGACAAGCATGCGTTTGCTTTCTGTAAATTCGCGGCAGGCCAGTACGTGACTAGACGGATCGATTAAACATCATCTAAATACACAAGCGAATGTGGATATAAGAGGAATGGAGTGATAAAAGGCAAGGAAAGGTAGCTAAGGCTATGTCAGGGTAGACCTGAGAGAAGCGGAAAATGGTATTCAATTAAGTAATCTTTGAACAGGGTAAACACGAAGCTTGTTCGAGATTCTTCTTTACCCAAGAAACCAGATTGCATAATTTGGATGCAGCCGCTTCAGGCTTTGCTGGGTGACGCTGACCCATTAGCTTAGGGTGGTTCCATAAGGTGTTATCAATTTCATGAAAAACACTGTTGCAGTCAGCGCTGTGCCTGGAATTAACAACATGAGCGAGGATGGCCCTGCTTGGGCTATTACTTTCGGCCATCTCCAGCTATGCTGGAAGGTGTGCC